TCTTTAATGGGTCCAGCCACACGTGTTGCAGAGTTTTCTGTTCTCTTTGCAGCTTCTTGCAAAAGGAGAAGGTTGTGTCAGAAACCCCCACCCTACTGTACTTCTTTTTTAATCAAATAATAATGCCAAAATTCAGCAAAGTAGCTGATCTGGCATGTTAGACATACACTTAGCTTAATTATGACTGAAAAGTTCAGCCGAAATTTAAGTTTCCTGCAAGCCACCAATGAAAATACAGGAAGGAACACTAAATTTAATACTGTGAAGTCAGCTACATCTATACAGATTTTTTCTGAAATGAGTATTTGTTTAAAAGATCTTCATTTTACAAAATATCTCCATCCACAGGAGAACACAAAAATGACTCCAAACACTCTCCCCTCTTCACAGAGGTAGTAAAGTGTACAGGCTGACGTTACCTTTTCAAAACACCTTCTGGAGATCCCATCACTGTTGATTCACATTCAATATAAGGATAAAGGAGCTCACTCAAAGACACAAGTGAAGATCTGGACATGCTTGAGTTTTCCTTCGATTCCTTATTGTCAACAAAAACCCTCTGGAAAGTGTACCAGTATCTCCTGTATGCAAAACTGTCATCTCTGGCAGACTGTAAACCCTGGATGTTGAGATGGAGCAAAAATATTGGGTGCAGCAGATGCCTCTGTTCAGCTGTTAGTCATGCAGGCAGCAATAGTAGGTTTAAGAGTAAAATAGTCATTAGACCAAGCAGTGTTACAAAACTAGGTAAACTGATAGTCTGCCATTGTTGTGGTGGCTTCCAGTGTATGCTTATCTCAAAGACACAAGTTTTCCATTTGTGTTTGAATGAGAGGCCAAAATGTGGAGGAAAATTACAAAAATATTCAATAAGACAGGAACTTGCTGCCATGCCGGAGCCTGGAGGAGGAAAGGTCTTTGACTGAATCTTATAATTTGATTGTACTTTGCTTGTTAACCTAACAAGTGCAGATGATTAAATTCGCTGACATAATCCCTGGCGGCCCATATGGGCTCAGGAGGAAGTGGTTCAGTCTAATCCAGCCATCTCCGGATATGGGACTCTCTCACTATGGGCCGCTCCACTGGGCCTTTGTATCAGCAGGTATTAACACCACAAGTGCCGCCTGACACTGAGATGGGCACATGATTAGGAGAACTACTGACCGGCTTGGCTGAAAGCTCAGGGATGGGGGGAGCTGATGGTGGCTTTTATTCATCAACTTCGCACAACTTCTACTTTACATGACTGCATCTCGGAATGTATAAGGACTGATCAAAGTTATACTAGTTACTCATTTTACTATGTATTCTTTCCTGATTTTATTCATTTAGCCTCTGAACAACACCATGAATACTCAGCCTTCTCATTAATTGCTCCCAGTGTTGTGTTAAAAAGTTTGACCTGCTGCAGCCCTCTTCTATAAATTAATTCTGCTAAGTGGCAGCACACAAGCCCCCGAATTATTTATACTTTTACTATTGGTCAGGGTGTCACTTAGATGAACACAGTGGAGGTTCATCTCATCTGAGCCACAAAAAGCCAGAGTGTGCCGCTACCAATGGCTCCACTGAACTTTGACCCTGATGGGTCAGAGAGAGCATTTGTCCCTCGGTAATTGGACAGAAGGGCCCTTTCGCTCTTCATTTAACCTTTGGGGTCCAAATCTTTCTTCCCCGACTACCATAAAGCCCCTGGTCCTGACCCAGTGTTTTCAGCCCTATCTTTCCACCCCCATCACAGGCCTTTGAAAGCCGGAGAAAAGCTGGAGTGTGCTTGCCCTGTCAGAGACAATGGCAGAGTTAGTGACCCCTGACCCTGCAGGCTGAGGCCTTTCTTCCTGGATCAGGCACTGCCTTTCGCTACGGTAGGTTATTGCTCCACAGCTTGGCAACAGAAAGAGGGTAAACACTTGTTAAGATTCTTCTTCTCTCAGCTCACCCCCAGCTTCTTTTCTCTCTCGGTTGCTCGGCTTATATTTTTTTCTCTTTTGGGGGTTCAGGGTCTGTTTAAGGATGGACAGGAGTGGAGGCTGTTTGAAATTCAGGCAGCAGCTTCATAATCCATCATTCTGACAGCTCTTTGTCACCAGTCCAAAGGGGACCGAAGTCACAGTTGCTCAGAGCATGGAGGAAAATACACTAGCTAAAGTAATGTAAATGGTTTAGACATGCATCTGCTTGTGTTTAGAAGCATTTGGACATTTCCTGACAAAAGAAGCTTTTTGGACAAAAGCTTTGGTAAAAGTATGTGTATGGTCGGCTGTCCAGTTTTGACATAGAGGTCTGAAAAAATCTGTTAGTTGTGAGAACTTTGTTTTAAATATCACAGTGTTAAGTTATGTAATTTCAGGTTACATTTAGATAAGCAGCAATTTTCATCAGCAAAATAAAAAAAAAAAAAAAAAGTTCTACAAAGGATGTGTATTGGTGAGCTCTTGAATAACACAAGCTTGTTATCCACATGGGGTTAATTCTGGTCCCAGGTTTCAGCCCTGTTGGGGCTCTAAATCCAACAAAATTGGGATTTCAATTCATCCAGAAGTACTTCCTTTCCTTAATCTCTTGAGTGCTGCCCTGAATCCTTGCGTATCACTGTGGTGTTACCAGGGAGACCCTGCTGCCCTCTCTAACACTGCAGCGGTCACCGCAGAGAGACGATGGACCTCGTGTGTCCAGATGCTGAGCATGCGGCCACGGCGAGAGGAGCATCCTGTGAGGCGGCCGCAACCATATGGGCTGAAAAGGAGGACTCTTCTGGAGCTGCTGGCCTTCTCCTCAGGGACAGAAGCCTATTGTTCCAGCCCTGCCCTCCATGCCACTTAATGGTGCAGAACAGCGCTGTACAGTATTGTAAGCTGCTCTCTGCTCCTTTTGCCCTGTCGGGCCCTCAATAGCAGGGCCCTCTCCCTCTTTCCCTCTCACTCCCTCTCACTCAGTGGGTGTTTTAGTGCCCTCTTCTTTCATCCCTTTCTTCAGCTGCCTCCTCCCTTTGCTACTTTTGCTGGGTTGCTCAATGTTCGCTTGAGTGATGGTCTAATTGTCAAGGAACAATTAAGCCATCTGATTTCTCCCCTCTCCTCTTGTCATGTCCGCTTTGTTTTAGAATGGGGCTGCCTGAGTACAGGAAAGGGCTGGAGGTCACTTCAATATCTGTCTGGGCTTCGATGTAAAGCCCCCACCATGTGGTCCTCAATTACACTAACCTTCCCAGATAGAGGTCCATCGAAAATATGAGACTTAACCCCTTGATTCCTTCTTAATACGATCAACCATCTTTTTATGAGTTCCAATTCTGATGATAAACTTACTACTCGTATTCATATTTATTCTGACTTATCAACAAGCTTGTGGAGAGACAGACCTCCCAAAACCAGAGGAAAAGTGATTTATTGGCCCTTGTCTAATAATCAATCCACTCTAAGGCCTCCCCCTTGTAGGCCCAATAAATCTGTCTCTCCTTCTGTAGACACCAAGAAATATGTTCCCTTTTAATAGACAGGTGAGCCAAACAGCTGGGAGACAGCTTTGCCCAAGATGGGATGTCTGCACACTTTTACCCCCGCCACTCCTATTGTTAGTGTAATGTCACATCTGTGACCCTGTCTGCTCCCTTCTCCCATTTTGTCTTTCATCCTCTTCTCTGCTCATACCTTCCGCTCCATTTCATACTGTCTGGGTTCCTCCCTACGTGTGGAGGCAAGGCTCAGCACTGTAGTGCTGCAAAAGGACGACCGGACACGCGCATCAAATCCTGTTTTAATTTGATCCTCCTCCCGAGACATGCAGCTGTTTCCCACATTGAAACACAGGGAAGGTCAAGGGAATCTTCAGACTGCATGTGTGCGTTCTGGGTGACATTTTCTTTCGTTTTGATCCTGCAGCTTCAGTTGGACACACCTGTAGATCATGACAATCACAGTGTTAGGTAGATTTCCTCAGTGGAATTGTCATCTTGGGATGCATTATTGCACCAGTGCCTTGACTGAAGCAGCCACAGAATACGCTTTCTGTTAGACTTTGTAAACTGACCATTGGGTCGACAATTTTGTCTCATATCTTCATAGCAGTGCTGATAAAGGAACAAAAAAAAAATGTAAATGCAGATGCTCTTATACAGGACATGAGGGGTTACTGAATGGTTTTATGGTGATGTAGAAAATTATTAAATATATAAGTATTTGAATGTCACCATGAATAATAACTGTGTGAAGGTGTATGATTCAGCCATGGTAATGATTTAAATAATTTTGGAGGCCTCAGAGTCCTTGATTGTCTGCATGCAGGCGTCTAAGGAGGCTCCAGGGTGTCTGAAGGTTAAAATACTGTAAAATGAGGATGTCGTAGATGTTCAGACTCCAGTGGTAGACAGATTGGAGCAAGGGTTATACAACATTGTCTTGATTCCTCTAAGCGTAGCATGATTACACACATAAAGGTTGAATCATTGTTCTGTTTAAGTTTTTTGGTATGTCTCTGTCCATGTGCACATGCTGTGCCAAAAGCTTTTCTAATCAGATTTGTGTTGTGATAAACATATATTCAAGTAACATCAACTGAGGCTAAACGAAATTTATTCTTTTATTTATCGGAATGAAGACTGGCTAACAGAACAAGATTTTCTACATCATACAGGTATGAAAATATTGTGTATTATATACTATGGCCTTTGTGGACACCAGTCTCAGTTTAATTGAACACCTATGGGAAATCCTGAAGCAACATGTTCGACAGCAAACAGGCAATAAGAGAATGTGTTTTGGACGAATGGTGTTCATTCCTCAGTCAAGAGCTGCAGGGACTTGAAAGAAATATCTGCCAAGGAGCACTGAAGGATTAGGAGTTTGAAGGTTTGAGTCCTTGTGGTTCCTGAGTGCACAATTTTACATTTTACATTCTGCAGTCACATATTTCAGATTTCCATTTTTGGTTTGGACTCTTGAAGAATGGGGTGTAACGAGAGTGGTTTGAACCCAACTGCAGCAATGAAGGCAAGCAGGACAGTTTGTAATGATCTTTAATAACCAGAATGAGAAGGCAGGCAAAACAGTTAAAGTCAGTTTCTTGGTTCAGGGTTCAGTCCAAAACTCTTGGTGTGGCACGACTAAACAGATCTAGTGAGTCACTGGCGTCTGGTGAATGCACACAAACAGTAAACAGTTCAAAAGTGTGCAGCGGAGGGAGCAGACGGGAGGTGACATCAGACAAGCAGAGGATAAGATACCAGGAGAACACAGAAAGAAAGCCAACATTGTGTGGAGCCGGCTGCAGGTTGGTTGGAACTAGTGAGGAGTTAAAGGAGCTATATGTTAGAAATCTAAAGCAAATAGTCGTAAAATCATCCTCATATGTCACAGAGACTAAGGAATAATGTTCATATAACATACTGATCTCACCGACAATAGTACAGCCAGAATAATTACATTTAAAAAAACATTTTTACAGACCGCAAATCATGTTTATGTTTTGAATTTGTGTTTTTACCTGTTGCGCCACCCACCGCCGTCTACCAGTCACACAGTCAGTAGAGTCTCAGCATCAGTTACAGTTACGACTGAGCTACAGCAGCACGGCAAGCAGTCTCCATCAGTCTCCAGCGTGCCGCTGTCCAGCAACCTCGAATCTGTAGGGGAGGGGGGGCGGAAACATGACTAGCGGCAGTATTTTGAATTTGAGTGCAGTAACCGTTTTGGCCATATTCTTACATACAGCACCTTTAAGGAACCAGCAGTGACAATGAGTGGATGCCGTGATGCACACACAAAGACAGAATGTGCAGCTATGCAGCAAAGTAATCCACAGCACAGGAAATCACAGGCAGCTGAAAACAGGTAAACTCACACTGCAGAGCTGACTGGCAGTCGAGAACAGAGGATTGAGTGGTTTACCAGGGAGGAGGAAAAGCAGAGGAGTCAGAGGCAGGTGAGATTGGTAACAAGAAACTGGTATGGGAACACACACTGGAAAGTCTTGCATAGAAATGACTAAGAACAATCTGACAACAAGAGTCTGTGAAGGTGGAGTATTTATAGTGAGAGGGAGTAATGAGCCACAGGTGAGCAGAGTTGGCTTGACGAAATGGGTGTGGTGGACCAGCAAGAGTGGGAGATGTGTGGACAGGTGATAGGCTGGTAGGCAGGTGTGGTGGAGAGACAGGGTTGGTGGAAATTAACTGGGTTAAATGGGAGAGTGACATGTATGGCACGCAGGAAGTGTGTACTGTGACACTGGAATTCTTTCCTGCTCCACTGTAAGCTTAACTTACATCCATCCATACATCCGTTTTCGAAACTGCTTATCCTCTTGGGGGTCGTGGGGGGGCTGGAGCCTATCCCAGCTGACATTGGGTGAGAGGCTGGGTACACCCTGGACAGGTCGCCAGACTATCACAGGGCTGACACATAGAGACAGACAACCATTCACACTCACATTCACACCTACAGGCAATTTAGAGTGACCAATTAACCTGCATGTCTTTGGACTGTGGGAGGAAGCCGGAGTACCCGGAGAAAACATGCAAACTCCACACAGAAGGAGCTTAACTTACAGTTAATCAAAATCTTGTTGAAAATGTGTTTGATGGTTCTGATAATACCCAACATAAGATGTAGTCTGCACTGCATTTCAAACCCTCATATCTGATCCACAAACCCTTCCATCAGCAAGTGTAGTTCATCAAAAATCTCTGAGTTTACCTGCTTAGTCTAGTTTCTCTGGGATAGAGCATCGGTCAGCTGCCTAAAAACTACTAAGAACTAAGAAGAGTCTATGTATTTCAGTGTGTGGGGTGGACATGGGCTGTGTGATGAGTTGAAACAAAGCACGAACGTAAATCAATTTAAAAACTATACAAAATAGATTTTTTTGCAGATATGTAGATGAGGAAAGGTTTTCTTAGGGGAGTGCATATTTATTTTGTAACACTAGGTGGTACTTGGACTGTAGATAAACTGGGTTTATTATTTATTTATTTATTGGGTGGTAAATAGACTGGGGGTAGTTGTATATGAGTTGTAAATAAAATTGGGAATTTGTTGAAATAATGTATGAGTTAAAATAAGAAATGTAGGAAAGGAGTAGGGACATATAGCCTAAGTTTTACTTCTACCTACTCCTTTTCGGATACTGTTATCTTTGTCTTGTTTGGTTTTTCATGTGTTTTTTTCATTCATTCATTCAAAATTAGTTGTTCTTTAATTGTACTATTTTTATGGTCAGTTCATAGATAAATTACAACTGTTAGCAACTGCATCCTAAATCATGCGGACAGTGACTTCGATGGTGTATTATGGGAGTACATTTCACTAATCATTACAAGCAAAATATTATGCAGTTGAACATCTCGACAAAGATTAGATTATGGTTTTGTAATTGTTGTAGAAGGTAATGTTCATTGTCAAAGCAGTTAAAAGGGGCTCAGTGTTTTGCTCAGGGACACTTGGCAGAGATAAGGTTGAAGTATAAAATAAAGTATGTAATATTCCTTTTGATAATCCACAGATGGTTTTGTTTAAGATGAAGCCAACCCAACATAACAGCTCTTTCTATGCTCTGTATTTTGTTTCAATTTGCAGCATTTCAGTCAAATTCCTGATCACGTGTGCTGCCTGATTGCTGAGAATACCCACTTTTTTAATTGTCAGAGTATTTTTCACATCCCAGCTAGTGGTTAATGATCTGCCTGTGAGGGCTCGCTGTGTGACAGCAGTGCAGGGCACTGTGGTGCTAATGAGAGAAGAGGACGGCCAGGCCTCCCCTACCACACATACAGCCCTTTGTCTCTCCCTCTGCCCCCCATCATTAGCTTAATGTGGCCCTCTCCCTCAACCAAAAAGGCCACTGCCAGTTTGGCAATGGGTTCACAGATGCAAATCCCTGCCCAGTGCTAATGGAGGTAAATGAAAATTAATTGATTCTCATTCAAAGGCCTTTTCAGTTGCCTGTTCTCCCTCCGTGTTTTCTTAATATGCAGACCTTGCCTCTTCAACAATACGCGCTTGCCCCTCCACCTCAACAATTCAAACATATTGCAATGTGCTTGCCATTGCTATGCAGAGCAGATGACACAAAAGCAAGCAAGGGAGCACATCGTCCTGACACCTAGGTATGCATGAGATGTGTACCTTTGCTCTTTGACCCATCATAGCCTGGGGTGTGGCTGTCTTGTTTAACAGTTTAAAGGCAAAGTTAATTTTTTCGCCTGCCTGCAAAGGGATAGTGATGAACTCACATGAATTATTTTCCCCAGCCAAAATAAATAATGTACTGTATGCAATCCTACCAATTTCAAAGCTATTTCATCATACTGAGCTGAATGTTGCTTTTTGCAAATTCACAGGGTCAAGTTTGTAATCCATTTTAAAGCCAAGGCTTTGACATTTCATTTTCTCCAAAAGTGAATGTGGCAGGCGGCTGTTACTGATTTATCCACAAAAAAACAACTTTTACTGACACTGGGGAATTGGCAAATGCTAATTTCAGACACTTTCATCATGCATGATCTACCAATACCATGCATGTTCCTGACTTGTAGCAGCAGAGTTAAGCAGCACAGACAGATTCAATTCTCAGGCTCTCAAACAAGTTGAACAGGGCTTCACATCAGAGCCTGCTGTGTCACAGGCTTACACAGAAAACATGAAACACCTGCTGACATGTAACTGAGGTCTTAGAATAAGTTGCATAAGTTGCTGGAACCTTGAACAAGACAAGGAGTATTCCACCAATTTTACACATGGAGCTCAGTTCATTCATCATGAGGAGTACTATTCAGCTTTCCAAAGTTTGACAAAATAACACCAACAGTGTCATCAGGGTTATCAAAGCTTGGATTTGAGACTTCAACATGTCAACACAAAGTCTGCATATCAAACCAGAAGTGTGGGATTTGACAGCATATTTAGTTACATTTCCAGGAATAACCTTTGAGGCTGAAAAATGAGGCCAACATGGAAGAGCCAAAAACTGCAGTTCTTTGAACGGCCACTTGAGGCTGGCTCCAGAAGCCAGTTAATCCTCATAGACACCCATGTTATAAGGCCCAACTTAACAGCAGAAACAAACATGCTAACCCTTCATGTCAACTGTATGGGGGATGATTTTTTATGTAACTCACCTGTTTTCATTTGGGCTCAGAGTTACACATAATTAAGGGCAGGTCGCTTTGAGTGACAGGCTGTCTGCCAAGAGTGTCCTTGGCCTCTCAGTCAGATCCACCCTGCGCTCCTCCACAGCGCCTTTGTCTTGTCCAAATATGATTACTCCTGGCTCCAGAAAACCAAGATGGGGACGGCTGAAATGCCAAACTCAAGGCTTAAAACTGGGAGTCCTCAAACCAATGTGTGACGTCACGGTACTACCAGACACTTTCGGTATAATACCCTTAGAACCATACCTAACCCTAAACCGTAGATCTGTATTGTGTTTCCATCACAGACAGTAAGTATGCAGGGTTGTTAACACACGGTAATAACCACACCACTGCTTCATCCAGTTCTCCTTGTATTTCCTCTTCACTGATACAGAGAAATGTTTGCACCTTGCTGATCGCCCACAGAACAAGGTTGCATGACATTTTCATAACATAAAGGAACAGGCTGGAATTTTTAGTCTTTGTCACAACTGATGGTATATCTAAAAAAAAATGGTTTTGTGGTTTGTGCATTGAGCCCTTGTCTAGCAAGAGTGTTGATACTTTATTGATCAATCAGGAGACTGCAGTGTTACTAGGTCCACCTTTAAGTATAAGATCAGGGCTAAGTACCTCAACGGAGGGGTGATGAAAAAACGGGACAGAATGGAACAGTACTATTGGAGCCATCCACAACTTGTGACAATGGAAAAGCAAAATAATTGTTGTAACTACCTAAACTGAGCTGAACTCAACCAGATTGCTTGGTGGGATCATGGCTTTTGAGACTAATGATCAGGATAAACTGGCCTCTGAATTTGACCGAATTTGACAGATTTTTTTTGCTTTGAAATTGACCGTTCTGTTTTTTAACGTCTCTTGTGGGTGCCCTAACTCGGGCTAAAAACTTTCCTCCTTGTTTTGTAACATCTTGAGATTTGATAGCAGGCAGTCAGCCCCATCAACACCTCTCGATACAACTACGATAATGAGGTGTGATGGATGGAGATGTCACATGTGGAAGATAAGGAAGCTCGGCTCACCGGATCCCTTCTGCTCTGCTGCTGTCTGTCCATTCTGTTTGTTTACCAATCAATCGATCACCCTCTGTTTTCCTTTTGTGATTAACCAAGCCTCCTTTTCCGTCTTCCCCCCTCTCTTGCTGGCTAAGGAGCAAAAAAATAGAGGACTAGTGAAACATTAACCAGACAGAGGAGAAGTGACAATGATGAAATGAGCCTGCAGGGATGATGCCGTTGTTATCTACCAATGGGACGATTGTTCCTGAGCCTGTAAAGTGCTGCCTGGGGTCAGCTGAGAGGTCAAAGTGGACTTTCAGCCAGGCTTTATCTTCTGGATGAGACAGGGGCTCATTATACTAATATACAAGACCATATTAGACAAATATACGACTTT